ACTAATACTTTTGAAGTATAGTTTTTCATAAAGAAAAAAGAAGAAGACTTTTGAAGTGATTTTTCACTAGCCAGTTATTGCAAGATTTATAAGATATTTTATTATTCAGATTACTAGTTCTCAGATATTTTGTTTCTGGTTTTAACATGAAAACAAAAGAAAGTAGAATCATTTTGCTAAATAATCTGAACGAAGAATTAAACCTAAGGAAAATTCGCAGAGAAAGCTCGTACTTGCGGTATTTTGCATTTTGTCGTGGTGTATGTTAATAGACTACAGCGTCACCGAAAACTCCTTAGAATGTTCCTCAGTGTAACTAGTTATGTAATGTTAACGCCCGGTTTCTGAAACACTGATCACCGGGACTTTAAAATAAACATTTTTAACTAGTTTTAACAGAACTCAAAGGAAGCTCAGAATTCGTTATGTTTTCAGTATTATTTTGGTTATTCATTATAATGTTGCAATTATTTGTATTAAATTATATCATTATTTATTATATATACCTCTAATCAATGATAAAGAGTCAACTGAAAAACAATTTTATACGACGGAGGCGAAATCGTCAGGAAATTAGTCGTTGGGTTATGTAAGTCTGCACATACAAGATTCGTTGCAAAACTCCAACCGAGTACAACTTCTGAAATTTGCCTTCATGTAGTTTCAGCTCCGAACATTTCAGGAGTTCATGACTAAGGATATTAATATCCGCTGTAATGTAGAGCATGCCTCTTAAATCTGGTTACATTTTGACATGATAATTTAAAGTGATAGGTGTACTTAAATTATTTCGAGGATTCATTTTGTACGAAATATATTCTTAATTAATGTTATTTATTTTATCCAAAACGGAGCTATGAAAACATTATAAGAAAGTGGTTATTTTTAAATTAGTTGCAATAATCAACTTTAATAAAGCTCATACATAATTTTTACGTAGACAAAATTTAATTACAATAAGAATGAAAGCTTTGAATCTTTGATTAAAGCTAAAAAAATTGAAACTGTATTTCATTTACTTGTTTCGGGTGAGAAATATTAATATTTGAAATGAACAGGCAGTGTTAAATAAAATAATTTTACAAACTTTATAACGTTTAATTTTGCTATTTATGCTTTATGTATTGAAAACTTTCGAAAAAAAAGGCTTTCAAAGTCACAAGTGATTGTCACAGAATAAATGATTTGTTGTTTACATTCTAATGTAATTTTTTGATTCGGGTACACTTGAGCCTTTGCATCATTTATGTTGTTCGATCTACGCAAATCCGTACAGTATATTAAATCCAGTATAATTAAATAATAATACCGGTTGCTGGTTAATTATTTAAATATGGCACGTCTAAACATAATAAAATAATTGATTTTTTAACAGTGGAAAATTTATTTTCTTTGCAAGCCGTTCTTTTCAAATGCCAGTTGACAAATAATTCGAGGTCATTGTCGTTCCTATTCTTATTTTAAACTCAATATACACCAGGCAGTACATAGTTGCTGGTTTTCTAATTTACTAAGTTTGGGTAGAAAGTTCCATGCAAATAAAGATATAATATAAGTAAAGTAAATAGTTATGTGCGGGAAGTCGATGGATGCAGGTGGCTCAGGATCGTGCTTCATGGCAGTCTGTGGGGGAGGCCTATGTTCAGCAGTGGACTCAAACAGCCTGAAATGATGATTTCATCATAATCATCATTTCAGCCTGTTATTATTAAAAAGTTATTATTAAAAATTTCCTTTTACATGACTCTTTTCTTCGAACGAAGACGTGCAGAAATGTTTGTTTAAACTCCTCCCCTAATATCTTTTCCAAACAATTCTGTTTGCAGCTGGTAGCTATCACACCACCTTTATATGTAGTTTAACTTTATATTCTCTAAGAAGCTTTAGCAAAACTATCCATCACATGTCGCACTTGACACGGGGTGGGACATCAAACCTAACGTTAGACTAATATCATTTGAAAATAATTTACAGAACAGTAACATTTTCGCACATTTATTTATGCCCACTGTGGTTAAAATATTAATCACCATACTTTAGGGCATTAAGATTCGTAAATCAATTCAACATGTAAATACAAATCATATCAGCTCATAAGGGTGTCATTTATTATTTTAGATTCTTTATTAGAAAGGAATTGGACGTGTGAGAATTCAAAGAAGAAGAATTCAGAGAAACATAACATAATAAAAAAGGTGAAAAAAATTATCCGTTTACAAAGAGTTTTATAATAAAACTTTAGTCATAGTATAAAAATATATCAAAGTATGAAGAAAAAGAAGAAAAGGAAAAACATAAATTATTTCAACTAGTGCCGGGCTCGCTAGACGCAACAACACACTTCAATTAATATTAATGGTTCGAGAGTATTGCCTTGATATTTCATAAGAGGCTCTCTGTAGGCCCATTACGTGGGCAATACTGGGCGAATTACGGATATAATGGATAAGTTGCCGACATCCTAAAAATCTTGCTACAGAATTTTTCACATTTTTGGTTCCGCTTAGTTATGCGATCATATATTTTATGAAAACATTTATTAAACTTCTTTTCGATATCGTTTTAGTGACAAGGGTGAACATTTCATTTTTTGAACTCTATGCAAGCTGGATCAGACTTTGAAGTACTACGGCTCTATCTATCAGACACTAGATATTTTTTGAGAGATAAAAGTTATTAAGTCAACCATATCACCTCCATCACTGGCTTAGGAGAGTTCATTGGTACACGTATTTTCCAAAACAAAGAACAGCACATTTTTCAGCCATTCGCATACAACAGTTTCTACTAGAAGGTGTCTCTGTATAACATAGAACCTCATCAAAAATCAAACCTGCCATATATAAATCATCTCTAACAACTTATCGTTCAATATCTTATTGACGTTCCATTGTTTTGCATAAGGCCACCAAAAGCCCCTCTAATCTTACATTATACCTTCTCCTGTTACCAGATCACGCGCTAACTCTTAGCATAGACGTACCCGAAAATGTTTGCACACTAAATTAAATTTCCACCAACCTTACTCCGGACTTTGTGGCCACAAGCAGAAGAGACCGTGTACCTTTACTCTGTATCTACCCTGTATTTACTTCCGTATCGTACTGATATCCCCATTAAGACGGACCACTGCCAGTTTAATGAATTTTTAACTTTAGTCAGAAATGCTAATACTTTTCAATTCTCTCAATTTATTTGTTCAGTTCAGTTTATTTTCTCAATGAATATCGCATTATTCACTTAAAAGAGAAAATTTGACATAATTATATTAAACTCTTCAGAAAAGTTCTTAGCACAGAAAATAATGTATGAGTTTTATTTTCATTAATAGCCAGTAAGATTTTTTTTAGCCACATTTCTAATCTAATAAGATTTTTCTGAGCTTCTGCGGTAACAAAATTAATAGAATGTTCAAAATAAAAAAGACAGGTATCATCCTACGAGTGGAACTTTGTCCTACTTACATCTAGTATCCGAACACATTTTATTTTCAGTTGATATCGTATAATCTAGATAGATCCTTCTAAGAAACGATAACACAGGTAAAAGGGCAAAATGATATGTGTAATGTAATATACTGTATAATGATCCCTGTATAAGATTAAAAAACATTGTCTAGGTGCATCTGTGGAATATTGTATTGGACTTTTCGTTCAAACGTTTCATTCAAATAATCTTTTGAGCGAAAGGCGCCTTGAATACCAATGCTCACTCTTAATCGAAACTCAGTGGCGATTTGTAAAAATATGCAGTCTGGGTAGCAAACGTGCAGAGACTGAATTTTTATTATATAAACCCATAACTGACTTTGATTTTATAATATTAAAAATAAAAATTTTTATAGTGCTAATCTCTGCACTTAAGATTAAACTGTAGAACAAAGTATGACAATTTTTTTGCTGTTGGAATCGAACCCACGTTTTCTGGATTTGCGCCCTGACGCTTTAGCCACTAAGCTAAACGGCTGATTGCGACAAGGAAGAAAATCTCAACGTCGTTTATCTACATTGTTTTTTAGCATTTGAAGCATTGAAAAATTTGAAGCAAAATAGCATTTAATAGTAAAAAGCGTCAGGCGGCCATTCTTCTGTCCTCGACTCTAACATCCTTACTTAAATAAACAGGTGCATAAATTACTACGATTTAACAAGATGACTTGATTAAAAATTTACTACAAAAAACCTAACTTCAGACTGTTTCACCTTGTCTCTGACAGATTCACACTTTTTAATACAGGTGGTATTAATAAGTGTGAATCTATTATCTAATATGTTATCTACCTATAGTTAAAAAGCGTTTATACGATTTTTTTTATTTATGAGCGTTACAATTTAGTTTATTAACCAATGAATTATTTGCTTTTTATAACTTCGAATAGAGCAGACAGGGATAAACATTTACTCAATTGCAAGGGCTTTAATAACAGGGCAAAGTTTCATAACCGCAGATCGTGACGAGAATTTATGAGAATAATTCAATTCCATAGTCGTTTTCTTTTTGTATTCTATTCCTTGTTATTTAGCAGCATTAGGGATCACATCAAATACGTGTTCTATTTTGTTAATTCGTTTCAGACTTGAAGAGAATAAATTACACTTTGTAGGTTATTGCATTGAACTTTAATTTTTATACTTTATAAAACAACACAACTTAGTAATTAAACACTAGTAGGAATCACCTTTAGAGTTACAGTTGTAAATCTTATTGAAGATAGCCGTACTCACAACTATTACGGTAATTTGGTAATATTTGTAATTTAATTGGATTTATGTTACATAGGATATTTGGTGATAAAGCACTCGTTGTTATAACAAACCCGATTTTATAAACTGTTAACATGAATACAATATGAACGTTTTCAAACCGTTAATATGAACAAAATATGTATACATTTTGAGAGTGTTAATATAAACACAATATGGATTCGGTGTAATTAGTTATAAGCACTCTGTACTTTGCTCATAATAAATTGCACATGGTGACAATTTTTGTACGTTTCATATACTTTCTTCCGTTTCCTCTTCGACTTCGATAGCCTTCTTTTTAATTGGTGGTTGGTCGCCGCATATAAATTTCCCGTCAGTGGTATTTTCACCGAATTGTTTCAACGCTTCTATGATGACGTCACTGTGAGGTTTGTGTGGTACTCTAGAGAAGACAATCACGTCTCCAGTGTCACAGTCACGCATCAAAAGTAAGTTTTGTACAACTAGCCATTGGTCGGGACTCTCAGGATCGAGGTTATACTTTGATGTGGTGTCTGAAAATATCACTGCGCTTACGTTATTGTATAAATTATTTACATCGTAAAAGTAATGTTTTTATCAGGACAGGTGATACCTATTTCTAGAAAGAATCTTCGCAGTTGCACGAGTGGGTACGTCAGTACCGTTCAGGTATGTTCTATGATTTCACAGAAGACCGGCGTTAAGTAGAAGTGTTTTACTTTTGCGTTTCGTCTGGTGAGTGAGGTAGCCGGACATCTCCAACCCAACGGGTTGTTGCAAAGGTGAGCCGCCAGTTGGCTTGCCAGCTTCTCAAATAAATAAAAAAATAGAAACTTTGTGCTAGGTAGTGGATATATTTTTACATATATACTGATACTGTTATTTTAAAATATAAGAGAAATGATCATGTCTTAAATTTTAATATACTCTATCACACTTCCACAGCATCTTTAAATTTTTGTTTCTTAATCATCAGGGAGTTTTGCTCTGCTCATATTAAACAAATAACGCAAACTAGAGGTCTGTTTTATGTAGGATCTTCTAAGGAAAACTTACAGTAATAACCTTTTTATTTCAAATTAAAGAAATATATAAACACAATATGAAATACTAACTAAATTACACCATACCTTGCAAATCAAGCCTACACGGCGTGGTGCCAAGAACGTTAGTTACATTTTATCGCTGAATAATCGTACTTAAACTACGAGCGAGATAAGAACCGGGCCTCTTATCACCATTCGCAGCAAAATAATGAATTACTTGAGGAGAAATGTGGGCGCGAAAGGGTTTCAGTTAGGTGGATGTAGACGAAATTAGACTACGCCAATCTAATAATTGTCTTTCCATCAAAACCTTATTCCAATATGATTATGTCCAATACTTTTTGCTTTCTGTTTTGGTATGATTTGTTAAATACATGCTGGACCAGTTGTAAATGTAAAAAATTATCAGTGACTATCACTGCATCAATTGAGGAGTTGACTGTCAAAATACCAATTCCATCTAGGCGAAGCAGCGATGTGCATTTTTATAAAACAAATCAATTAAAATATAATTAGTTTATTTAGTATGAAAGACGAACTCAAAATAAAAGCCATTAAATCGGCAAAGAGCGAGTCTATAAAAACGGCTAAAATGATGCCTCTCGTATGGGAGCCCACTTAAATATTTTTTATTATATTTTTTTAGTCTTTTTTGTTATAGCAGCAACAGAAATACATTATCTGAAAATTTCAACTGTCTAGCTATAACGGTTCATGAGATTATATTCTGCTGATAGACTGACAGACAGATAGACAGCGGAGTCTTAGTAATAGGGTCCCGTTTTACTCTTTGGGTACGGAACCCTAAAAACTATCAATTCAATTGGAGAGTGTACCTTACCGTTTTTGTCTCCTATTATAATGTTCTCTAAAACTCCGTGCCCTTTTTCGCATCCCTGCAAGAAGTGCTTCTTAATTTCCATGCTTGATCTTAGCTCCAAGTTGCAGTCCTCCCACTCCACGGAATCGTCGAAATTTCCATATTTCTGTTTGTATAACTGTTTCTCCTGTTCAAATGGGGAATCTATAGATTAATCGTTTTTCATTTTCATTTTACAATTATTGCAAGAAAAAGAATTTAGTTAAATTGGTTCATTTATCATTGTACAGAATTCGCGTTAAGGCAATAAATTATTATCATCGTGCAAAAGTTTTTTAATTAAGGATTAAGGTAAAGTTGTATAAAATTTTAACTGTATCCGGACTTCACAAGTATTTTATCCATATAAGGCCGTTCATATTTGATGCCAAGACTTTCAATCAAACTGCACTGTAGAAATAAATAGAATATCTAGTAATAATAAAGATAGATAAATATATCTATGATAATATATAACAATAAAACATTTTTAAGATTATGATAAGAGCAATTGAAACCGTAAACATGTTGTTTGTCAAATTAGACTTTGGCCATGTTTGTGAAAGACGATTAATTAATTTGCCTTGTAAAAGGAAAGACTCCAATGAATAACAACATTCTCTTCTTGGAACGTTACCATGAAAAGTAATACGTAAAACCAGATTTTTTGGTCTTAACCTCTGCACAAGCATTGCTTAAAACGACAAAATACAATGTAGGTAAAAGGCGTTGAGATTTTTGTCGGTGTGGCAATCGGTCGTTTATCTCAGTGGTTAAAGCGTCTGGGCGCCAATCCAGAAGACGTAGCTTCGATTCCCGCAGCGATGAAGAACTTTTCGGCCCTTATTCCTATAAATTTTAATGTATTCGTCTTGCAAACATTAGCACTATAAAATTTTTTTCACTTATTTAAATATTACCTTCATTGTAAGTTTCCGAATAAACATTTTGAAGCAAGGCACTTTTTCCGTAGCGCGGTAGTACGAGGTCTGCCACAAATCGACCATGCTGTTGAGATTAATAGTTCCCGCGTATATGAAGTTTGCACATATCTCTTTGACAACATATTGTTTTTCCGCTGACTTATTTTGTGGTGCAGCTACAACTGTCGTCGCCTCATGTGGTTCATCAGAATATGAAAGGATCTCCTCAGAACTGCTAGTTGGATAAGTTGTCTCGATCAAAATCGCGGTATCCACTTTCTCGCTAGAATTAGCTGAATCCGTTTGGATCCCTTGAAAGGGTACCTGATCCTTCTGAAAACTACTTATAGACAACGACAAAAACGTTACCACACACGTATTGAAGTTTATATTTCTCGACATTATACTATCGGTACTCGCCCGTTAGAGAGTAACAACGGATTGCCGAAGTACGCCCTAACTGCGCCGAAGACTTATTCAAATGTGACGTCATCGGTTTTCGATGTGTTGTTATGATTTTGTTATTCAATAGTAAATTGTGTCTGCACGCTCAAACATCCCATTGTCAAAACGGGAGCAGTATAATAACACAATGATTATTCAACACCAATACCAGTGTTTTAAAAGAGTGTATGGAATGTTGTAATATACATATATAACGTTACAATTTTGTTTGTGGGACTGACAAATTAGACTTAAATCATAATTCTGGACTTTTAAAGGTAGCGTTAGAATTGAAAGAAATGTTAACTTATACCAAGGTGCGTTATTAGGGTTTCGTACACGTAAACGTAAAAAAAGGAACGCTTATAAAATTACTCTATTGTCCGCTTGTCTGTCCTTGTATCACCACTGATTTTCTCAGGAACAGGTGGACCTGGCAAGTTGAAATTTATACCAGATACGGAAGTTTATAATCCCTATTAGATGAATAAAAATTAAAAAAAAAATCAAAAAGATATGGGCAAATTTAGATTTTCGCGAAAACTTGTAAGGACCATACCTTACCTTATATTATTACGTTAATTTTCAACTTTTTTAAAACGGAACCCTATAACTAAGACTCCGCTGTCTGTCTGTCTATCCGTCTTCACCAAGCCCTATCTCATGAACCGTGATAGTTATACAGTTGAAATTTTCACAGATGAGGTATTTCTGTTACCGCTATAGCAACAATTACTAAAAAACAGAACATAACATTATTTAAGCGGTTCTTAATCGTGGTCTTTAATTCTCCCATACAATAGACACAACTTTTTTTTTTTTTGCCGTTTTTATAGATAATGATACAGGACCCTTCGTGTGTGAGACCGACTCGCACTGACCGGTTTTAATAGAAGATTTTTTATTTTTCGGAGTTTTCCGTTTACTTGTGCTGTAAGAGCTTGCTTGAAAATTGACAATTCCAGGTCAAACGGAAGTACCCTATAGGTTTTGGGTCGAAAGTTTTACTGTGGTAGGGCCACGCATTAGCCTGTTGCACGAATAGGCAGGCTCGTCCGGGTAAGTACCACAACCTCACAGAAGACCAGCGTAAAGTAAAAGTATAATACTTTCGCTTTTTGTCTGGTGATTGAGGTGGCCGTAGCCCAATTTTCAAAAAGGTTGTCAACGCATCTACAAACCTTCGGGTGTAGCAGATGTCCATGGGCGACGGTTTTCACTTGACATCAGGTGAACCGTCTGCTCGCTTGGCAACTTTTCACATAAAAAAAAAAACATGATCATTAACATCAATATTAACATCATTAATTAACCTCTTATTTAAAAAGTGAATGAATTATAAATATCATTAGCAGCGTAATATTGAATCCAGGAAATTGTATTAAAATTTCATTAATACAAGTCATGACAGGACAAAGTAACACGGCGAGCAATGAGAACTACATAAAATTATAATAGCCAACGGGAAAATTAAAACCGTTTGATTTTGACAAATGATTCATAATTGCTGCAGAAGAAGGACGGTGAATTGTAATAACAAAGGAGTGAAATTAACTTCCATTGTTCGGAATTCTGCACTTCTAGGCCATAGTTAACTGACACAATAAGATCTAACTATATATTTATTAGAATATAAACCTTAAGTCTTTATCGTTTCAAGATAAAGACTTTTAAGGTTTTTTACGAGAAAAGTTGGCAAACAAACAGGTGATGATGTATAATTCCCATAGCAGCACCATCGTTATCTGGTGGATTGAAAACTACTATATTTTTATTTCGAACAAAAATAACCTTTAGAAACAGCAACATATAAAAAAAACATTTTTGTATCATAATGTCATTCGTTTTGTGACAAAAATTTAAGCAAGAATTAAATTTATACTTTTAAAAGCATTTTTTTAAAGTTGGAAACGTATAATTAGATAATTAAGAACTGTTAAAGTTCTCCTTGCGGGATTCAACTACAAAAGAAAATCTTTTAATAATAATATAGTATATTTGCCAATTTCAATCAAATTATTCAAGTATTCGTGTGAAGCAAAGCATATTCTTCATGTTTAATTAATTTTGGATGGTAAACATAGATAGCGAAATGTAATAGTAGATTTTATAAATCGCGAAGGCATAAAATCGAATTTAATTATTTAGTTAAAGAAAATTCATAAAATATGTTTTTTTACGAATCTAAATGAATAATTTAAATTTTCACTACATAGTATAAAACAAAGTCGTCCCTCTGTCTCTCTGTCCCTACGTAGGCTTAGATCTTTAAAACTACGCAGCGGTTCTTGATGCGTTTTTTTAACTATATACAATGATATAAGAGGAAGGTGCGAAGCCGGGGCGGGTCACTAGTAAATAATAAACCAAACATTTTAATTATATGACTGAATACTTGTCAGTACTGGTAGCGCTTCTATACGGGAGTACTTTCCGAGCTATTACTGGTAATATGAGTACTATTATTGACATAACAAGATGAATAAAATACCAGAGGTTGAAGGGGCTAATTGAGCCATTACTTCCACAATGATCCATCCTTACAAAGGAGATATCTAAGCACTCCTATTTGTCACAGACTACGTGTACCTCGTGACGAAAATGAGGCTGAATGATTAATCAGCATTACATGAGGACAAATAGGAAATGTCAGAGAGACAGAGAATGATGCCCACACGTCTATTTTTTAGCTCACACATCAATTACCTCCAGGCCAAGGCCCAGTCGGGACGAACGACAAATTACTTTAATTATTTACGGTATCAATATAAACTTCCTCTGGCAAATATCTATTCCCTGTTTAAGCAAAATAATGTTATAATACCACAAATCGAGTTGACTTTTATCATACTGAGAAAAAAAACTTTAGAATAGATTTTGCAGTCTGTTTTACTAAGCTGTATTGGAAATCGAACTGTCTTTGATCCCAAGTCGACGTACTCAGCAATTAAATTCGTAATGCCATTACATAAACGACAAATATTCTAAAATATATATTAAAACATAGATATTATTTCAAATGATATTAATGTGATAAAAATGTAACTAATAATTTATTTACTTTTACTCTTGAATAAATAATTTGTAGTGCTAATCCTGCATCAATATTATCCCCCTTCATCAAACTAATATTGTCATATGGTATACCTATGATATAAAAAGTATATTTATTTAACGGTGGTAGGGCCACGCAGCAGTCTCGGCTGTTGCAGGAATGGGCAGGCCTGTCCGGGGGGTGACCACGACCTCACAGAAGACCAGCGTATAGTGGAAGTATGACAAATACTTTCGCGTTTCGTCTGGTGAGTGAGGTAGCCGGAGCCCAATTTTCAAGAGGTTGTCAACGCATCTGTAACCCTCGGGTGTAGCAGATGTCCATGGGCTGCGGTATTCACTTACCATCAGGTGAACCGTCTGCTCGTTTGGCAACTTTTCACATAAAAAAAAACAAGTATAGTATAGTAAGTAGACCATTCAAAACTTCTACTGAGGAAATTGTAATCCAAAACGTTGTGCAAAAGCATTTGGTTGTTTCTTTGTTAAAGTATGATTTAAAGTTCTTTTAAATTCGCAAAGTAGATATAAAAAATTGAGCACAGGTTCATAAACGGATACTATAATTCTTGATTCGTTTTAGGGTCTACAATAATTTTCATCGAAATTTATCGTTTTAATTCTCTTTGTTTTGTAGAATATAGTGGACTTTGGAAATAAACAACAAAATACGTAACTGTCCAAACAAATCATTTAGAATATGATAAAAAAGTTAACATTTTACCGGAGGCTCATTATCATTTGTGTTCAAATTGGAATATAATTGTACGACGCAAAACAGTAACGATCGCTTTCTCCAATCCAATTAGCAGTAATTTATCGCTTTAATTTTAGTACAACTGGTCCACGAGAGAGCTTATTCAGATATTTTTTTAACTTTTAGATGAAAAATATTGTGAACCGTGGCAGCTCAGTGTCTGATCTGTGTACTTACACGCGCATTTAACATTTTCCCTGATTCACATATTATGAGTACCGCGATAGCTCAGTGTCCGGGCGCTCGCCTCTAATTCAATATACTCGAGCAACCTGAGTTCGATTTACGGTGCCGGCACTTGTTAATTTTAAGTGCTGACTTATCACCTGCTCCGCGGTGAAGAAAAACATCGTGATGTAACCTGCATATTTTCGAAATAATAACAAAAAATATATTTCGATCACAGGTGAAGTCTGCCAATCCGCAATGAAGTCGCGTGGTGGACTATGCCCTGATACCCTCTGTACAGAGGAAGCCTTTGCCCAGTAGTGGGAAATGTAGGTATAGGCTGTAAGTAACAACTTTACTTAGGTACGTTACAATTACATTTTGATATAGTTCATATAATAGAAGGCTGCTGAGCTGAGTCTACTCGCCAGTTTGGAATATATAGTTGTGCCAAGTAATCAGTATAAAATAGTGAATAGAGATAAATTCAATACATTCAGTTTTTTTTATTATTCAACAATAAGTTGTTTGCACTAAACAGATGCACTACAATGGAAAGAACATTGTTTACATCGTTATTACTTAAAGAATTCGTTTTACTTAAAAACACCGTCTTTTCACGTAGGGGCTTAACAACGGTTTTTAGAATAACCAGTTAGAATTTAGAAGAAGTAAGTCTTTCAATAGTGATAAGACAATACATTCACAATCAAGACTTCAAACGAGTAATTGAAACAGTATTTTTGCGTAGTATTATTTTGGGGCATGCCAGGTTATTTGTGCAAAAGCAATAGGTACTCTATTTACTGTGATAGAACCACGTAACAAAATTATTAAAATTATATAAAAAAAACTGTTTCCAATGCCGTATAACTACAAGTTATAGTACAAAGTTGAATTTCTTAGAGCTTCTACCGACACCACGTTTGTTCGACCACTGATATTAATGATTAATTTGCATGTTAATATCCCATTACGATACAACACTCCCTTACAACATAAATATCACGTTGAAGTAATCGAGTTAAATTCAGTTCTGTATTGAAATTCACCCAATGTTTTTGGGTTAATGCCGAATTATGTGACACGCGTAAGGTAATGTAGAAAGCTTGCCAGTGAATTTTAAATATGTGGGGAACATAGAATTCATAATCAATGTCACCCTCTCGCCCTAGAGACTTCATAGGTTCAGCAAAATATGAACAGGTTCAAACCCTGGATAAGAAATCAAGGATTTTACCTTTCTAATGCCTGTTTAGATAGTTGTTTTCGAAATATCAACGCTCGTATCATGTCTAGTCAAGGTGTGTAACGCAATAAGACCAATGTGAACAGCATGTCGTAATGTTTTGCTTTTATTTTAGTCGAAGCCAAGGTAGCCCCTGACGGATATTCTTGGGTTTTTATTAAGTTTATAGGTAGTTGAATATGTTATTGCCACATCTACAATCGAGAAACAAATAAAAGGTAGGTTAACATATATGACCGACTCCGCGAGAGATCAACTCTGCTTATTAAATCTTTTTACGTTCATTATCTTGCGTTACATAAGTCTTTTAATTTTTAATTTTTTTAGAAATCGTGAGATTTTACAATTGTCAATATTAATTATTTTTTGCTTTTTGACTTTACAAAGGTTTGGCTTTTGACGTAACCAAACTAAAGAAAACTCTATCAAAATTTTGTGGGCTCGAATAGCTTCAAAATTACTTCAAAGCTTTGTTACATGTACATATTTTGTTTTATGTCGTTCTTCGCCCGTTACTGCATTGCGTGTTTATTTTCTATTTTGTTGTACCAACTAAGTAAAGTTGAACGTAAATATATTTTAAAGTGGAACCTAGGTAAATAACTTTAGGTGTAATCGAAGAAAAAAAGAAGTATTTTTTTAAATTAAAGGAACATTATTTCCTTTAAAGCCGATAAAAATTTAAATTAAATTTTCCGATTAAAATTTGATAGCTCAGTGTCCGGCCGCTCGCATTTAATTTAATTTACTCGAGCAACCTGAGCTCGATCCCGGTGCCAGCACCACACATGAAATTGTTAATTTTAAGTGCTGAATTATCACGTGCTCAGCGGTGAAGGAAAACATCGTCAGGAAACCTACACATTTTCGCAATAATAACAAAAAATTATTTGAGAAATATGTGAAGTCCGCCAATCCGCAGTGAGGTCGCGTGGCGGATTATGCCCTGATACCCTCTTTACAGAGGAGGCCTATT